CTCAAACTTTTGGGCTGAAGCCATCCTCCTGCCTCAGCCTCCTGAAAAGCTTGGACTAAAGGCATATCCCATGTCACCCGGCTAATTTTTCTATTTTTGGTAGAGATGGGGTCTGGCTCTTGCTCAGGCTGGTCCTGAACTCTTGAGCTCAAGCGATTCTCCCGCCTCGGCCTCCCTGAGTGCTAGGATTACAAAGGCGTGAGCTACCACAACAAAATAATTTTGAAAAGCTCCAAAATTGCCAGAAATGAGCTAGTACAAAGAATAGTAGCATAGCAGACCAAGAGGGAAGCATGAAAGTAAAACTGGAAGAACTTTTTGGGTGGTATTAATTGGAATTGTTTTCTTTGTACTTTTTACTTCCTACTCCTTCTCGGAAAATGCCAGAAGTGCACTTGGTACCAGGAGAAGAAATTCCTGTTCCTCCTTGTTTTCACTCCTGGGATGTTTGTGGATGGTTATTGGATTCCCCCACAGGTCTCTCATGTTGTGACTTGTGAAGATATAGTCATTCAACTCTTTTGAATCTTCCAGACTTCATGGGTTCTTGCGGGCTCTCACATAGCCACTTGAATCATTTTAGCTCTTCTCTAGAATAATTGTGTTTTATTTTGACCCCACTGATAATCTTCAGGTACAGAAAACCAGATATTCCCAGGGAAGTCCTGTTGATGATTGAGTTGGTGGTTTGGATTTTGGCTGTTTTGGTGGGGATGACCAACACATGTGAGGCATTTAAACAGAATTCCTCCTAAGAGAGGATCCTGGTTCATGTTATCATAATAAGCTTATTTTTTCTTTTTTTTTGGTCTTGTATTTCTTCTCTCCAGTTGCTAAGAGCGATTTGAAAATGATTATTTTCCAATGTTAACTTTTTATGTTCACGTTTTCCAAGAACTCTATAAGCAGCTGTCTTTTTTTTTTTTTCCCAGAGTATTACAAGGGTATAAAAGTTTTGGTTATAAAAATTGCTTTTGTACAGGTTGAATCAAGTTATAGGTGTGCCCATCACCCAGACAGTGTACATTGTACCCATTATCTGTAGCTACTCTCTCCCTATCATTGAAATGTTTCCATTTTTGCCTTGTCAATCCTCCATTACTTGTTTCAGCAACCCCTTAAATTCTCTGTAAAAGCAAGTGCTGTGATTTCTGTGTTCTGACTGAGCCCTAACTGATATACCCCCAAGCAGTCCAGAAATACCTTTTGAACTATGTGTATAGATTTATGAGTGTATGTTATTGCAGTAATTAAAAATAAGTGGATTATATTTATGGTATATAGGTAGTATCCAACTGACAAGATAGATTCTAAAAGTTAATTCATAAATCCATTGTTTGGATTTTGAAATTAATTTTCCTATCAAAATAATATTATACATTAAAGTTTGATGGTCACATCCATCTACGCTCATAATGTAATGAAGTATATTATTGTACAAATCTTATTAGGGAACAGAGTTAGCATTGCTTTTGCAACATATATTCAAAGTTGCAACCTATTGTACTAATAACAAATTTTAAGCACTCTTTTAGAAATTAAAAAAGTGTATTCTTATAGTCATATCAGATATTGATGATTAAAAACAAGCTTAAAATGTGCTTGATGAAAGCTCAGAAAGAAAAAACTGGTCAACCAAGGATGGAGGAAAATTAATTTCATAATATATTATGAGGTTTTTTGCAACACATTTGCTTTTACAATGGCTTTACTTAAGGAATTGAAAAATATTGTTTGGTGCCTTCTTAAATATAGTCACACAGATTAGCGGTAGTGGAGAAAACAAATTGAAATTGCTTTTTATGCATGTTCAGACCAAAATGCACATTCAGAATATTTTGCAGAAAATATTCTGGGCTCATACTTCTGTTTCCCATGATGAAAATATAAACCACAGATTTATATTTATATTTATATCATGTGTTCCTCTTGTTCTAGGCCTTATATGTAATGCATTAGAAGAAAATTACTTTCCTAAATAAAATTAAAGGAAGATGTTCCAAGATTGTTATAGAGGGCAGGATCTCCTTGGGGAAGAGACAAGATTTACCTTCTTCCAGTAATATATCATTAGCACCTATGCCATTGTCAGTACAGGTGCTGCTTTACCTAGTAACACTCTGGCCTGCGGTGGGGAGAGGTGACAGAGAGTTCAGAGCAATCCTCCCAGAATATTCCAAAGCATAGAAAAGAAAAGGCCAGGGCTTAACAAAAGGGATTAATGTGGCATTAACATGTGGTTTATGTGATGTGGCTAATTTATGCTCCACATAGTGGGCACTCTTATCCTCTGCTTACTTCTACGTGGACATTTTCTAGCAGATACCATCCACCCCTTGGTATCTAAGCTCTTCAAGTACAAAGCTGTTTCCCTTAATATTTTTGGTTTTTTTTTTTTTTTTTTTAAAGCCTACGGCACCCGGTATTCCCAGGCGGTTCCCATCCAAGTACTACCCAGGCCCGACCCTGCTTAGCTTCCGTATTTTTGGTTTTAATTACATATATTAATTAGAATTTTTAACTCCCAGTACCTTTATTTCTAGTGAACACTAGCATTGTGAACTGTTTTATAACAGCCTTTTTTTTTTTTTTTAAGACAGAATCTCACTGTCGTGGGGACTGGAGTGCAGTGGCATCATCATTGTAGCTCACTGCAACCTCCAATTCCTGGGCTCAAGTGATCCTCCTGCCTCAGCCTTCTGAGGCACTAACTCAATCATCAACAGGACTCCCCTGGAAATATCTGGTTTTCTGTACCTGAAGATTATCAGTGGGGTCAAAATAAAACACAATTATTCTAGAGAAGAGCTAAAATGATTCAAGTGGCTATGTGAGAGCCCGGAAGAACACACTACAGTGACTACAGGTGTGTGTCACCACACCTAGCTAATTTTTAAAATTTTTTGTAGAGATGAGGTTTTCCTATGTTGCCCAAGCTGGTCTTGAACTCCTGCCCTTCAAGTGATCCTCCCACCTTGGTCTTCCAAAGTGCTGCGTGTACAGGTGTGAGCCACTGCACCTGGCCACAAATGAGCATTTTGTAGATAAACACCATCACATGAGTGCAATTTTTCATGTGTTTCATTGTCAAACCCAAATATATTTAGCTTCTCTATACCATATAAAACGAGATGCCAAAGAATATATACAGTTGGGCGCTGCATAATGACAATGGACCACGCATACAATGATGGTCCTTTAAGATTATAATGGAGCTGAAAACTTCCTAATGCCTAGTGACATCTTAACAAGGCATTAGTTACATGTTTGTGGTGATACTGGTGGAAATAAACCTACGGTGCTGCCGGATGTATAAAAGCACAGCACGTACAATTACTGTACCATCTAGAATGTCCACATAATGACAAAATCACCTAGCGACACATTTCTCAGAATGTATTCGTGTTGTTAAGTGACACCTGACTGTACACTAAACTTATGTTCAGCAATTAACGGTTTCAGTATTTTAACTTACTTAGAAATGAATCAGGCATTTAATGAATATCATTTAATTTAATATAACTTTATGATTTCAAGTTACAAAAATATTTTTGAAACATTAAGTAGACATATTTTATAAAATATAACTATTTTTGAAAAGTTCATTTATAAATTTTTATTCTATTTACATTTACTTAATTCACTTGTTTTTAACAATTATGCTTGACTTGCTCATGAAAAATTTCCTGAGGCATTAAACAAAACTAGCCATTGAAGGAGTTCAGGAGTTCCCCCAAATCATTTACTGTCCCCTAAATTGTCTCTCTCCTATGAACAAGGTACACAAGCCCCCTAAACCTTTTTGTTTGTTTGCTTGCTTGTTTTTAATGGGAGAGGGGATATTCATTTTTCTTTCCAGTGATGCCTGGTGCACACAATAAATCTGTGTACTTTTTCTCCTGTTAATCTACCTGCTGTCGGTTTATTTCATAAACTTAGTTATTGGACTCTAAGAGGGTAGAGGAAAAGTCTTCCCTCCACTACACTATTATCCTAATAAAGTAATAAAATTACTTTTATTTTTGTTGACTAATCAGGCAGGTATTAAACATACCCTGGTCTAACGGCCTAATTAGATTTTTCTTTTTCTTTTTTTTTAAACAATATAAAGACGAATAAGACCCTGTTCTGTTTTCCAGGAGCTAAAAATCCAACGGAGGAAGACAAAGACACGATATCCCTCTTGTTACAAAGAAGACTGTTCATTTTTATAATCAACACAAAGCTACATGCTCTAAGGGCAGGAAGGAGGCTTTTTTCCTACTTTCCACGGCCCTGTGGATTGTTCCACAGTTTAACTTGATTTTACTTTCTGTGTGGAAATACACATGAATGTAATGAGTTTTTAAATGCTAAATTTAGTAAGCAAGGCTCATCAGGGAAACAAAACCACCTACGTGGTCACCTTTAAACTCTGCATGACACGAAGAACGCAGGCACTTAAATTTTAGTTTTCTATATAACATATTTTCATGTTTAAAATCAGAGAAGGCAGTATTTCTGGCATTTCCTGTTTTGAAAGAAGGGGGCATGGCATTCTTAAAAAAGACCCCGCTCGCGCGCAGCCCTTTATGCCCTTCGGAGAAGGAAGGAGAGCGCAGCGGAGGAAGAGGAGCGCGCCTCCCCTCCAGGGCCAGGCCAGAGGGCGCTCTCCGCTCGCCCCGCGCGGCCACCCCGCCGGTCCCCAGCCGGGCGCCCGCGCAGGTGGGCGAGGCGGTCGGGGCGGCCCTGGTCCTGGGGCGCGGGGCGGGCCGCGGGGCGGCTCCGGGGCGGGCGTGGCCCGCGGGGCGAGGGCTGCAGGCGCGGCCCGGGGCGCAGCGCGCTCAGCGCCGGGGGTGCGTGGCGGGCGAGGAGCGGCACCCGCGGACCGGCCCTCTCCCGCGCCTCCGGGCCAGACTCCAGGTAAGCGACTCGCACACTCGGCCGCCCGGCGGCGGCGGCGGGAAGGGCTGGGAAGGACAGGTGGGAGGGAGCCGGCTCTCCGCCGGGGCCCCGCTGCCCGGGCACGGTGGGCTCCGCCGGGGAGGAGGAAGCGGAGCGGGTCCGGAGTGCGCCCGGGACGGGCGGGACTGAGCGGCGCGTGCTGCGCCGACCCTCTTTCCCCATCCCATCGGTGGGTCCTGGGCGAGGATGCTGGTGCCCGGTGTGAGCTGGAAGTCACTTTCTGGTCTCTTTCGCGCTGGTGCCCGTAGTGTGTAGGAGCGCAGAAATCCGAGCGGTTGGCTGCGGGCGTGGATGGGCAGGGAGCGACAGACAGTTACTGCCGTCGCTTGGATGCCAAAGGCTTTGACTTCACTCAGTCCTGACCGCAGCCTTGCAAAGAGGCACGGCTACTCCTGTTTTACTAGTGGAGAAGCGATGCTAGGATAGTAAATGACTCACCCTGGGGCAAACGATTGAAAAGAGAGGCGCTCACGTGCCCCCCCCCCAAGCACTTTCCCTTCCTGCTTTCCCTCTTCTCCCACCGGTCTAGGAAACTCGCCGCAGGGGCTGTTACCAAAACAGGTGATTTCGTCTTAACGCGCGTTCTACTTCCCTCCTAGATTTCTTTCTTGGTTTTGTTTAGTTTTTTTTTTTTAGTACTCAATCCCTGAGTCCAATTCTGCTCATTTTTGGTTATTAGCTTTTCAAAGTGGAAAAAGTTCTTTCTCATCCATCGCTCGCTCCTTTTCTCCTTGCAGAGCTTTCTCTTGATGCAGAATAAAACACAGGCACCCTTGCGGGTTACGCTTCCTTCCCCATCTTCCGGAGTGGATGAGATCCCTGCAGATCCCGGCGGGCCAGTCCGGTCGCCCGGGGGAGGTAAGTTCTGTAGTCACCTGGCATTTTAGAGATGCCTATAAACGTCGCACGTACACCCTTTGCCTTGTTATTTCTTTCTACAGAGAATCATCTTTTTACAAGCAAATGGGGCAAGAGGCAAATGAGGAAGATACATGGTGGTGTGTAGAGAGAGCAAGTGGTGCCTTGAGATGAGAAGGCAGCCACAGCTTTTTGTGGCCTGAATTTGGTATTTGGGAGGTGCGAGACTGGTCGGGGACGTGTCTCTTCCTTTGGCATACTGCCCCCCTTTCAGATCTGTTCTGAAAGGCAGGTTTGTTTTATAGCGGGGAAGAGGAGGGGTTGATGGTTTATAAAGATCAGTGTAAATTACCTGCTAGGGGCTTAGGCAGTTCCAGACAGGCCCCCCTGCTGGAGCCTTTGGTAACAGATTTCAGTCCCGGCAGGAAGGAAAACTCGGGGACTGTGTGGATATCTGCCTTTTCTTAACAGATTTTTTTTTTCAGGCCCTCAAAAGGGTAGTTTTGAGAAACTTTAATTTCTTAGAAATGGCTAACTCCTTTATTTTTAAATACAATATGCCATACTGTGAATTTGCTTTTAAAAAGTGTTTTGTTGGTAGATGAAAGAGGTTGATATTTTTTCCATTTCATGGCGAGGGTTTGAAGGTTGCTGCCACCTCTTCTGCACATCTTTCAAACTGGGGGGGAGAAGGACCTCCTTAGCCTCCCCACGGAATTTGTATGGAATTCCATCCTCCATTAATTATAGTTCATCCTTGATCAAGTGTAGCAGTACTTCGACTCACAAGTTGATCCTTTTCCATTTGCAATTTAGTTGCTTAGTACTAAGAAAAATGTTTTTCCCTAACTCTGGGATCACAAAATCAACTCTACCTACAGGGATTGAACAGGTCATACACGAGAGTGCTTGGTTGGGCCTGTCGACCTATGAAGAACTTGCTAACTCTGAGTAGGTGTTGTCCAGTCCCCACTCAGTAAATATGCAGGAATTCTGGTCCATTGTGTCCAGATTGTCTCTTCTTTTTGTCTTTATTTTTTCCCATGAGTAGCTGAAATCTTTTTACTTTTTTAAAAAATGTAAAACCTAAGCCAAGGCAGGAGGGCCACTTGAGGCCAGGAGTTTGAGACCAGCCTGGGCAACATAGTGAGACCTTATCTCTACAAAAAAAAATAAATAAGAAAAAACAATGCAGGTGTGCCAAAGTGCGCCTGTAGTGCCAGCTACTCGCCTGTAGTGCCAGCTACTCGGGAGGCTGAGGCAGGAGAATTGCTCGAGCCCAGGAGTTCAAAGCTGTAGTGAGCTATGATTGTGCCACTGCACTCTAGCCTTGGTGGCAGAGCAAGAACCCATGTCTAAAAAAATAAAAAATAAAAAAAATGTAAAATCTGATTGTAAGGATTGGTTCATTTTTTTTTCTTTTTTAAAACAACAAAGAATCAAATTTGATCCATCCATCACCATCCCATTGCAAATCTCTGCTCTAGAAACAGCTGTCTATGCTGGTGATCACATTCTCAGGTGAGTGGAAAATTCTGAACTATGAGACACATGCTGTACATTTTTCATGAAATGAGGTGGTAGGAGGCAGAAGTTAATACTACTGGAAATGATCTGTTCTGATTGTCAAATTCTGTTTTCTGTGAAGTATGTAGTATTTCAGCTGCATGGAGTAGTTTTTTATGGGGCCAAGCAAGGGGACTTGTCACTATTTTTAATATTCATTCTAATGAGAAATGTATTCATTGGTTCCATGTCAGGATGTCAAATGCCTAAGTCCCTGTCTTAAAAAGAGAGTTCCCAAATGACTGTTTATATAAACCAGGGGTGTTTTTTTGTGGAGACGGTCCATATTCTGGCTTTAGCACCAGAGGCATGGATGGCTTAGTGTTGTTTTGTTTCCTGTCTCAAGTAAATGCCCTGTATGTTGAGGCCAGTGCTTCTCAACTTTGGCACTTTTGACATTTTTGGCCAGATAATTTTTTGTTTTGGAGGATTGTCCTGTGCATTGTAAGATGTTTAGCAGCATCCCTGGCCTCTACCCACGAGTTGCCAGGAGCAAGTCCCTCGGTTATAATAACCCAAAATGTCTCCAGACGTTGCCAAACATTCCCTAGGGAAGAAAATCTCCCCTGATTGAGGAAGAAAATTAGGCAGTGTTTAAAATGCTCCAGATGTTTATGAACTAAACTACAAGTTAAAGATAATTAACTTCAGCTTTGAATGAATAGAGAAGCTACTTGTAAATTTAAACATCTAACATTTGAAAACATTTTTATCATAGAGATTGCTAAACCCATGTTCTACAGGTTTTATCTCCAAAGAAATTTCAAGTGTCCAATCCATTTGTTAAATTTCATAAAATTTTTTTTTTTTTTTTTTTTTTTTTTTGAGACAGAGTCTCACTTTTGTTGCCTGGGCTAGAGTGCTGTGGTGTCAGCCTAGCTCACAGCAACCTCAATCTCCTGGGCTCAAGCGATCCTACTGCCTCAGCCTCCAGAGTAGCTGGGACTACAGGCATGCGCCACCATGCCCGGCTAATTTTTTGTATATATATTTTTAGTTGGTCAATTAATTTCTTTCTATTTTTAGTAGAGACAGGGTCTCGCTCAGGCTGGTTTTGAACTCCTGACCTGGAGCAATCCGCCCACCTCAGCCTCTCAGAGTGGTAGGATTACAGGCATGAGCCACCGTGCCTGTCCATGCTTTTTTTTTTTTTTTTAAATTGGGATAGGAGAAGCTTAAACATACTGTCATGCTGCTGGGAGTTTTCTGGTAGAGAGGGAGAGGCTAAGGGTGCAGGAGAGTGAAATAACTGATAGGACCCATTTTCAGAGCAGGTAAGAACACAGGTGGAAGGGTTGACCTTTGATGGAAGGAGGGAGGGAGAGGATGCATAAAGATGCTCTAGATTTGGGGATTAGAATTGTGAGGACTTCTCTTTTCTCTGATGGAGGTGGCAGAACCATTGACCCAGTTTGACGCGTGTGTGAAGTCAGGTATTTCTTCAACCAGTATTTATCGAGCATTTTCTAGTGCCAGGCTTCATGATTGACTCCTTGGAAAGTATTATGGATGATGTTGATTGCCACGAAGCTTGGCCCTATACACCTGAAATAGCCCTGCACCACCCTTCCTAAGGATTGCTTCCTACCTTTGCTCTTTGCTTGGTGACCAATGTCAGTAATGGTCAGCTGAGAGCTTAGCATTTCAAGCCCCCTCCCCACCATGCAGGTTCATGTCCAGGGTAATGGTTTGCAAGGTTGGCTATGCATTAGGAACACCTGGGGAACTTTAAAAACTTTTGATGCCCAGGTCAAACTCTAGACCAATTCTGTCAAATCTCTCGTAGGGAGACTCAGTTACTGGTATTTTTTGAAAGCTACCTGGTGATTCCAATGTATAAACAAGATTGAGAACCACTCACCTACAGAGTGGGCATGAGACTAATTAAAGCTACTCTGTTGTGTTGAGCTCCAGCCCCTGTTGCCTGGAGTTTACTGCATTTGTCAATTGTATGGGACAGAAAATGACGCTAAGACCAATTGGGTGGGACAGAAACTGAGGCAAAGACAGCAAGTGGAGTTGAGATCATACTGACACCCAGAGCAGGATGTGAATGACAGTCCTTTGGGGTGTTGAAGGAAGGTGTAAGAACTTCCATTTAAATCAGCATCTCTCAACTGCTGTACGTAGACTTAACCTCTGGTGTACAGAGGTTAAGTCTATAGGTGTACAGAGACATTGCTTGTCTCTCAGCCCTCTCTCTTCAGCCAAGTGAACTGAAGCTCAGCAGTTACCTTTTGGGGTATATGCTATGGGCTGAGAAAGAATCACTGCTTCTTGTTTTTTTTTGAGACAGAGTCTCGCTTTGTTGCCCAGGCTAGATAGTTTTTTTTTTTTTTTTGAGACAGAGTCTCGCTTTGTTGCCCAGGCTAGAGTGATGCCGGCGTCTAGCTCACAGAGACTCAAACTCTGGGCTCGAGTGATCCTTCTGCTCAGCTCCCGGTAGCTGGGACTACAGGATCGCCACCATGCCCGGTAATTTTTTTATATATATCAGTTGCAATTAATTTCTTTATTATAGTAGAGACGGGTCTCGCTCTGTCAGGCTGTTTTGAACTCCTGACCTGATGCAATCGCCCGCTCGGCTCCCAAGACTAGATTACAGGCGTGAGCCACAGCGCCCGGCCTAGAAGTAGTTTTATTCAAACCTAGCAAGTCTGGCTCTTTATGTTTCTCTAAATTTGTTTAATTGAACATATACCTTTAGTTTCATCTCCTCCTCTCATGTTTTCTCCACAGACAGAGAGGAGGCATGTAGCACCTTCACATCTTTCTAAACACAATCGCAGATCCTAACATTGGTTAAAGGTTATTCTCATAGTCTTAATTGTCCATGTTATGGCCCCACATCTCAGTTTATAGCCATGTTCTTTTCCAATTTGCAATAGATTTTTTTTTTTTTTTGCCAGGCTGGATGCGTGTGCTTTTCACAGGCATAATCATACTCACTGCAGCCTCAACTCCCAGGCCCAAGTGATCCTCCACCTCGCCTGCTGAGTAGCTGCCATAGCATGCACCACCACTGACTTGAGGTTTTAAAATGATCTTGGCCCTGCCAAGTAGCAATGGCTTTAAGGTAGGTCTTGCTGGCACGTATGGTACCTTTGTGCAAACCGAAAAGGCTCCATTCTGGGTGGACCAGTTAGAGAAGATGTAGATCTTGTTTTTGCTAGCCCAGGCAAGGCTTCAGTTCCTCGGCCAGTCACTTTGTGCAACAGGCTGTGAATCACCTGTGGCCACCTCTAGGGAGGGGAGAGATGGGTGTTGGCCTAACGGCGCTTTTGCAGCCACCCAGGGTGGTGTAGGGGCACTGGATAAAATTTAATGGCAGAGATTGAGTTTGTAGTTAAAGTCAGTAACGAAGTGGTGATTATTTGCATATGATTGATGCAGGAGGAGGTAACAAGGATTCAAATTTGGCTTAAACTGAGTAG